GAGAAGTTAGGAACGAAGGGGAGAAGGGAGAAGAACGTAAGAAAGGAATGGAGACGAAAAAGCCGCTTTCAATCAATTTCTCTTTTATTGAAGTAGTAACTACTTATTAGTAATGTATATCTGCTAAACCCGTGGGAATAAGTCATTGTCTTAAAAACGATGGGGTGCCTACATAATTAATGAAATTGAATGCATAATTAATGAATGGGGTTATATGGTACTCTTTCCGTGAAAACTATAAAAGCTGTCAATATTCTCAATGGTACTTACTCGCATAAACCCATGTAACCAAGATGATCTCAGCAATCTTATTGCTTACGTCTTTTGCATTCTCTGCGGCAAATGGTTTGTATACTCTTAAAACTTACTTAGAACTTATTTTTTTCTCTCGCGAAAGGAAGTTTCATTGTAACATTTATTGAGTATAACTGAATGGAATAACGAAATTGTTTACGTGGACAAACTTCAACTTACATCATTCTGTTATCTCATACGTTAACAGTTACGAGAGTGTCTCTGTAAAAGCGGTCCGGTCGATTTTGCTTGAGACACAGACTGTCGTGACTTTATAACTCCACGAACTTACCTGAGTTTTGGCAATCTCCGAATTTGGCCGCCATTTTGAAGGACTTGTCAACATGCATGAAGTGTGAAAGATATAAACCGAGCAGGTAGAAACCGTCTGAAATACATACGGAAGTAATTCAAATGAACTTTTCTTTCAATTCAAGCGGTAAAATTTGCAATTGTTTGTTAAACTTACCATTCCTACATTTCCAAGCGACCATTTCTTCGTAAGAAATAACCTGTGTCACCCAAGCTTCGACTCAAATGTGAAGTACGAATCACACAACACAACTGCATCATCTTCGAGGCAATATCAGCCTGGTTTTTTTACTTTCTGATCGACAAGAACGGCGATCACGAAGCGTTTGCCATGTGGTCAGCATTAGATTCGATCCACCAAAACCACCTCGGTCGAGAGGGACTGAGATGGAATGATGGACACCTCATGACGTATTATACTTGTACATAGTTATGAAGCTATGAAAACACGCCGATTCATCCCGATGACTTGAGTGGAATATTTCTTTGGAAAATTGCGTCAAAACTTTACACCCGAGAAATGGTAAGTACTAATTTATTGTTTGATGGTAGTATTATAAAATGTTTCGCGCAATTTTAGGCCGATGCTTCCGATATTTAAAAGGTGCCAAGGCATTTGGTAGTTTTGGTGGATGTCAAGCGTGGACATCCACCAAAACAGTGATCAAAACCAACAACAGTACTTTTTGAATTTTATCTATGGCCAATGTTAGACCTTCAAGGAAGCAAAAGAATTACATTCCACAAAATATTAGCAGTTTACGTTCTGGCTAATTATTTCTTATAATGCGCAATTGCTGACCAAACGTTCATAATGAAATCATAAGACATGAAATTAGATTAAAGTGGTTTTGGTGGATGTTTCTCTCTCCATCCACCAAAACCATCATGACAGTTTCTGTTACTTCCATTAGAGAGGAATGGTTTGACCTGCTACTGGAGTAAATAACCACAATTTATTTCTTTGTACATAGATATTTTTGCAAAGTTCTTAAGTCAGCACCTTTTATTATTGAAACCATAATCATCACATGGTGCTCAATGTACAATACAAAAAGTTTTGGTGTGGCAATCATGTACTCTTGAAATGTGATAAGAGAGAGTTTTTAACTGATTTAACAGATATTTGCAACAAAGTTCCATATCCAGAAATTTCCTCCTCTACCTCCTCTAAAATCATTACCTTTAAATACTACAAATCAGCACATCAGTAAT